CCCTAACCGTAGGGACTATAACCACCTCAATTAGGATATGTAATAAGCCTACGAATAGCGGTTGTTAAAGCAATGAAGACACCCAGGAAATCCAGCCCTTAAAAACCCACTTGGTGCCAATCGATCAAAATTCGTCTATCCCGAACTGATCAGCGTCGCCTCCTTCTTCCTTGCCTGCCTCCTTAGCTTCAAAGGCCTCCAGTCTTTCAAATCTAATGTGGTCTTTTCTGCCCAACCATATACGTTACAGCAGACTTATAGTAATAAGAATAATTGTTATTTCCGGCTGAACAGGTTTGAAATTCTCCAAGTACCTTCTCCAGCGAAACTCCTGTCCGACCTACATATGATAGTTTCCTTCTTAAGAGGAATCTCTCTTTCCCCCCTCGAATGCCGGCCGCCCTCTCATGTTACCCTTTTACTCGAGTGAGATTTTGAAGCTGAAGCTGAGTCTATAACTGCTGAGGGATAGCAATGACAGTATTTTATTTAACCACTGCACGTAGAAGGCCAGGATTTGATGGGAGACTGGAGAAGGCGATTCTGTAACACGAGAACGTGTAACAGGACGATTGATGAAAACTTTGGGATCACCTCCATATAGATAGCTTATATGTATAACCGTAGGATTACCTTACTCAAGAAACCTACAATACGCAAACGATAGCACCCGCGTAACACCGTCCAATCCTCCAAAGATCGAGAATTTACTTGAGGCTGTAGATATCGACGTGCGGGTTCAGGTAGTCGATTTTCAACCCGAAGATCAAACACATTTGTTCTAATTTGCTGAAGAGGTTGCTAATCATTTTATTGTCTCCTTTACACCGCCTTGGGATTTCAGACCATTTTATTGTTGTTTCCATAATAAAATTCAAAGCCGATCAGCAGATTCGGCAGAAATACTGACACATGTTAATTCCTACGATTTGTGGGACTTCTTTCTATGTTTGAGGTGAATGTTCACACTAATATACTGAAAAAATTCTGGATCCACTCATTGCTCGTTTTCTTACCCGTAAGAGAATAATTCACGCTATGGATGAGGTCTACTTCTCTTTATCTTTTCGCCGTGCGTAGCATAGAATCCCAGATCACTTCCATGTGAAACTCGAAATATTTGTTCTTAACTTGATCCAGTTTAACGTTGAGCAGACTACAATGTTGTCCGAAGAAAAAGAACTGGCCGATGAGGTAACTTCGTCGAAAATGCTTCGTGAATTGTTGCAAAACTATTTTCCCTCGCAGTAAAAATCTTGGGAAAAACGG